GACTCGCTCACTGTCTACTTGGTCATCGCCTTGGCCTCTGTGTCATCGCTCTTCCTCTTCTCTGTGCTGGTGTTCGTGGTTGTGAGGCTGTGCAGAAGGAGCAAGGCGGCGCCGCTGGGTGTGTATTCGGTGCCTGAGGGCCACTTTCCTGGACACCTGATGGATGTCAGCAGCACTGGGACCCTGTCTCAGAGCTACCAGTATGAGGTTTGTCTAAAGGAAGGTTCAGGGACTAGCGACTTCAAGTTTCTGCAGTCTATTAATCACAACCATCAAGGGACTGTGAATGACACGGAGTAAAATTCTAGCTTTGCAAATTGTTTTGGATAATTAGTGACTGTTGGTTTTCAGATCATTCAGGATAAAGGTTAATTTCTTTCTAAGTATAATAGATCTCCATTATATTTTGGGTTCAGATAAAATTTTCTAATGTTTTTCATTGATTTTTCCAGTTAATAAGAAATTTTTCTCTAATGTAGTCTCATTATTTCCTTCTCTTTTATCATWTTTACTTGATGGTGACAATAAAATTTCAACTTTACTCATTACTGAAAAGTTGCTGATATCTCTTCTATCAACTGTTTTTTAAGTGTTAGTTATTGAACCCATGGGTGCTTTAACATTGAGGAACATCCCCAGCATCTTTTTATTTTTTATTTTGTGACCAGATTTTTCTAATTTGCTTATGACCTTGTTAAATTGCTGAGGCTGGCCTGGAACATGTGATCTTCCTGCCTCAGCCTCTGGAGCTGCTGGGCATGAGYGACTGTGCTCAGCTTATTTATCAGCATTTCAACATCAAATAGTACTGATTTGAATATGATGCCAGCCCCATTCTATTTCATTGTTGTCTAGTAATTTTTTTCTAAATTTGGTGATTTGAAGACAAGCATAATATAATGAATTTTTAGTATTTCCTGTTTAATCTGATAATATGCTTTCCTGTGTAGCATATTTAAATGGAGAAATATCTGTAAAAATGCATGGTTTTATTTTATAGTAGGATTACATGAGAAACAYCATAATTTCTCCCCAACTTAAAGTCTTTCCTACTCTTTATATCAACTTTCAGTATATAATTATCAGATTTTCTCAAGCATTGCAAGTGATATTATGTTTGGCTAAATATGTGAAAGAAATACAGAAAGTCAATCCTCTGAGAGACAAGAAGGAAGGTGCCACAGTCTGGCTGGGCACAAATCACGAGCCACTAAAGCAGGAACAAACTTTATTTCTGAACTCCATCAGCACACTACACACACGCTCCCCGGGAATTTTCCCCAATGCCACTGGGCTCATCCAGGAACCAGCAACAGGAAATATCCCTCCTCCAGCACTTCCCCAACCAATGGGAACTCTCCGGGAATCCCCRGGAGAGCTCAACTGGAACTCAACAGGAACTCCTCGAGAACTCGCTGGCATCACCTCTCAACCACTACTTCTGGCAAAAATGCCATGCATCATCTCGACTCGGCTGTGGCCCTCAACAGGAAGGAGATATCCAAAAAATAACTTTGGTGTAGATTTTCCTGTTGTAGATGTTTCATTTCCTTCCAATAAGTTTTGTCTCCTGGGATTATTAAAAATAAATTTTCTGGGCTGGGAATATAGCTCAGTTGGTAGAGTGTTTGCTTTGCATGCATGAGGTCCTGGKTTCAATCCCCTGCATCACAAAATAAAATAACTTTCTTCTAGGATAGCTAAGTGATGCYTTTTTCTTATTGAACAGCATGTTTAGATATTCTTGCATATACTGGTGAAGTAGAGCTTACTATTAATTTGAGATTTTATTATGACTTTTAAAAAATATTTATCTTTTAGTTATAGATGGACACAATATCTTTATTTTAGTTTTATGTGTGCTGAGAATTGAGCCCAGTGCCTCACGTATTGTAGGCAAGTGCTCTACCTCTGAGCCACAGCCCCAACCCTTTATTATGGCTTTTTTCTATTAACAATATCATTTGCCATCAAAAGGGTTGTACACTATTAGTAGTTGGAAGAGTCATGTACAAGTTTTGCTAAAATATATAATTTGAGAAGAATTGAAGGATATTTCCAATGTACTTCCCAATTATTTAATAGAAATTCTTAGAAAATTCTGATATATAAGATAGAGTTTTTGAATATCATTAGTATCATAATAGTGTTTGTGTGAAATGCTGTTGACAATGTAAAATGTGTATCTAAAAGAGATGTATACCTTATTTGTAAGATATTCATAACCTTATTGTTATATTATTTCTTTTTGCAATGTATCTCTTGGGTTAGAAAGAGCCAAGGTATTTTATCATTCAATGAAAAGACATTTCATATCATTGTGAATTGTTTCAAATTATTTTAAATGCTTGATGTATCAAAAATAGACACTTGGAAATATTCTGTCTTATTTAATAGAGCTTATCTAACAACTGGGATCCCAGAAAAAGAAGAGATGTCTATAATAGGGGAAGAATCCATCTATCAGAATTTTAAAATTAATTGTGATTTATCCACTGGTCCATTTGACAAATATTTATGGAGCATCTACTATGAGCCAAGGATTATTTGGGGGGTGCAGAATGAACAAAACAAAGTTCTAGTATTTATGGATGACATAGGAAAGAAATAAATATGTACATCCATGCTATGACAAATGATAAATGTTAGTAAGAAAAAAACAGGGCAAGAGATGTAAAAGTACCTTCATATGCATTTTCCTATGACTGAAAAATTTACTGGCCAGTATTATGGTTTTTACTGGCTGAGCTATATCAAGCATTTGAAAGTAAATCGAGGGCAAAGCATATTGCTGATACTTTTTTAAAAATCACATGGCTATGTGTCCTTAATTTTACAAGATGAATGATCATTATGCCTTCTTTCACTTCTCTGTTTTCCTCAGAGCACTCCTATCCAGAATATTGGTTTAGAAGGTCAGGGGCATGTCTGGATTGTTTACTGATGTATTTTCAGAACCAGGGACACAGATATCAATTATACTTCTTTGAATGAAGAAATAAAAAATTATAATTGCATGATTTAGTTATTACATATTTTCCCCAATTTCCAAACTTCTAAAAGTTAGATAAAGACATTGTAGCAATTYATTTCCAAGCAAAAGTAACGCATGGTGGCGCTGCAGGCTAATGCTTTAAAAGAAAGAAACGCCAATAAATGCTAGGAACTCTACTTCAGATTCCCAGTTAAAAAAGAAAAGCCTGTAAACAGAGCCGGACCAGTAAGTCTCCAGAGAATGCTGCTTACCTACCTTTCCAGACAGGTTATCAACTAAAAGATTGACCAGTGTCTCAGTTCCATTGCTCCATAAGGTACTACTGACCCCTGTTCTTGTAAAGGTGTGTGCAGAAGTAAAGATGGAGTCCGGAAGGGTGCGCAAACAAAGGCAAGTTCTGATTCTCTTTCTCTTATCCGGAGTGGCTCAGGCAGGCTGGGGACTCCGAAGCTATTTTGTGATGGAGGAAACTGAGAGCGGCTCTTTTGTGGCTGACCTGGCCAAGGATCTAGAACTAGGAATGGGGGAGCTAGCTGCGCGGGGAGCCCGGGTGGCCTCTGAGGATAACGAACCACGTTTGCAGCTGGATCTGCAGACCGGGAAGTTGATATTAAATGAAAAATTAGACCGGGAGCAGCTTTGCGGCCCCACCGAGCCCTGTGTAATGCATTTCCAAGTGTTACTGAATAAACCTCTGGAGGTATTTCGAGCTGAGCTCCTGGTGGGAGACATAAATGATCATTCTCCTGAGTTTTCTGAAAGAGAAATGATGCTAAAAATCCTAGAGAATAGCCCCCCTGGTACTGTTTTTCCTCTGAAGAAAGCTCAGGACTTGGACGTGGGCAACAACAACGTTCAACACTACAATATTGGTTCCAACTCTCATTTCCATATTTCCACAATCAAACGGGGAGATGGCCGGAAATACCCGGAGCTGGTGCTGGACAAAGAGCTAGATCACGAGGAGCGGTCTGAGTTCAGATTAACCCTGACAGCGCTGGATGGCGGCTCTCCACCAAGATCTGGCACCACTCAGATTCGTGTCCTGGTCTTGGATGTCAATGACAATGCCCCTCAGTTTGAGCAGATACTCTATGAGGTGCAGGTCYCAGAGAACAGCCCTATAGGTTCCCTAGTTGTCAAGGTCTCTGCTAGGGATTTAGATGCTGGAGCAAATGGACAGATAACATACTCGCTTTTTTATAGTTCTCAAGAGATAGGAAAAACTTTTGAGCTAAATAGCCTTTCAGGAGAAATTCGACTAATTAAAATGCTAGATTTTGAAACCATATCTTCATACGAACTAGATATAGAGGCATCTGATGGGGGAGGACTTTCTGGGAAATGCTCTGTTTCTATCAAAGTGTTGGATGTTAATGATAACTCCCCAGAACTAACTATCTCATCATTTACCAGCCCTATTCCCGAAAATTCCCCTGAGACAGAAGTGGCTCTGTTTAGGACTCGGGACCGAGACTCTGGGGAAAATGGAAGGACGGTTTGCTCCATCCAAGATGATGTTCCATTCACSCTGAAACCTTCAGTTGAGAACTTCTACAGGCTGGTAACAGAAGGAGCTCTGGATAGAGAGACAAGAGCCCAGTATAATATCACTATTACTGTCACTGACTTGGGGACACCAAGGCTGAAAACCGAGCACAGCATAATAATCCTCGTCTCGGACGTCAACGACAACGCCCCTGCCTTCACCCAAACGTCATACACGCTGTTGGTGCRYGAGAACAACCAGCCCGCCCTGCACATAGGCAGTGTCAGCGCCACAGACAGAGACTCAGGCACCAACGCCCAGATCACCTACTCACTGCTGCCAAATCAGGACCCGCACCTGCCCCTCGCCTCGCTGGTCTCCATCAACGCAGACAATGGGCAGCTGTTCGCGCTG